TAATCGTATTTATAGCACGCGTTTAGCCGCATGCCACTGAGCTGAACGAATGAGTCACTCGGCCAAGCGTCTGCTGGGACACCCGTCTCACTGTTTATTCATGTTATCTGTGACTACCGCAATATTTGATACATTCCGAAATAGCCACTTACGCGCGCAAAAAGTACATTAAAACGGAGAAATTCTAGTGTTTTAACGTTAAAATGTTAACGAGTGATTGATTGAATGATTGCATATAAAAGTTTCACCTTGTTCCAGATAATAGTTTTGATAATGGGCGTTTCTCTAAATTTGTACGGCCCATCATGAATGTGCATTTAGTTATCTAGACATCTAGGTCATATGTTCGATATTGTTTAGATTTTACCTGTCAAAATCCACACCGGCCGGAGAAATTCAAATTAGCATGTCTCTCGGTGCGTTTTGGTGAAAGCTAATGAAGTGTTTTTAATTGAGCAACTGGCAATAAAATTGGTCAGGTTGATTGGTGAGGTAGAAAAGTTTTAAATGCTATATGCTTCTTTAAAGTAGACAACTTTAGCCTTTCGCTGAAAAGTCATACAATCATAATGAAGAATTTCTTTGTTCGAAATTATTCGAAATTATTTAAGAAAGTTTGTTCGCGGCCAAGTCCTTAAATATCAAAAACAAGATTAAAAATAGTACCAATAAAACTAAAATGACTTGGAAGATAATTGATAGTGAAACTGGAAGAGTCAGGGATCGCAATCAAGACATCGAACTATGTGTCGATAACACTATAATCAAATCTAACGAAGAGATAGCGTTGTTTTTGATAAGTACTTTTCTGACATTCCAATTTCGACTACTAAGTCTCTTCAATCATCTCCCGCCCTCGCCGAATCGCTGCTCAAAGATAATGTAAACGAGTGCAAGGTCAGTTTTTCATTCCGACCCATTGGTGCCGACGTATAGTGAGGTATTTAGAACCATAGATATTAAGAACCTCCGATCTTTGGGGTATTTCTGTAAAAATATTAGTGCATAATTGATGTTTGCTCCCCATCTAGCTATAATTTTCAACAATTGTATTAAAAGTGGCGAGTTTCCCGATCTAATGAACATGTAAAGTTATTCCTTTATTTAAAGCAGGTAGTATGTCCGACCCCAGTAACTTTAGCCATTTCCGTCTACCTCTTGTAGTAAAATTTTGAAAAAATTATATTAATCAACTGGTAAGTCTTTTACGTAAACAAATTATTACATAATAATCAGTTCGGTTTTACCAAGGGTCGCTCGACAGCCGATGCCGGTGTTGAGTTATATAGATATATGTTAAGGCTTGGGAGGGTCGCATGCCTTTAGGTGTTTTCTGCGACTTTCCAAAGCATTTGATTGTGTCCAACACGAGACCTTAATCGGGAAACTCCGCCACTATGGCATCAAGAATACCGCACTGAATCTTCTGACTTCCTATTTACACGGAGAACTCAGAAGGTTGAAGTGATGGTAAAGGTCCTCTGGGTCGGCAGTAGATATGGGGGTACCACAGGGCTCAATTCTTGGCCCTTTCCTCTCTTGTTTTTAAATGATCTACCTTTCATGGTAGAGAGAAAACATCAGATAGTTTTGTTTGCTGATGACACGTCCTTGATTTTTAAAATCAAACGACAAATAACAAATTTTGACGATGTGAACATGCTCTGTCTTCGATTGTCCATTGGTTTAGTATGAATAACCTTCTACTTAATGCAAAAGACAAATGCTTAATTTTGTGCAAAAAATGCAAGGGTTATGGATACTAGCCAATTATAAACGGTGAGGAATTGAATCTGGATGATACAACTGTATTTCTCGGAATCACCATGGATTCAAAACTTCAGTGGTCCCCTCATATTAACGGATTGGCGAAGAGACTTAGTTCTGCGCCTACGCGGTTAAAAATTCGCTCACTAACTGATGTCGATACAGCTAGACTTGTTTTTTTGTTACTTTCTAGCTTTGACTTTGGCTTATTATTATGGGGTCATGCTGCTGTGTCGAAACTATTTTCATCCTGCAGAGAGGGCTATTCGTGCAATCTATAATTTAAAATGTAGGGAATCTCTTAGAGATAAATTCAAGGAAATTAATATACTTACCTTTCCCTCGCAATATATTTATGAAAATATTATGTTGTATACAAAAATAGTGTGTTTACTAGAATAGAACATCGCACAATGTTAATACACGGAACAAACGCAGGCTGCAATTTCCCCGTACTAGACTATCTAAAGTTAGTTTCTTTTTTGGGGAAAGGGATACTCTTCTTTAATAAAATCCCAGAGGCTCTTTTATCACTGCCTTTCAATAAATTTAAGAAATGTATTAAAGAAAAGCTGTGTAAAAGGCTTACTATAAAGTCAACGATTATCTAGTTGATAAAGGGCCTGGGACTAGTGCTAGACAGGCTACTTCTAATCAATTTGCGTTTTGTTTTAAATAGTGTTGTTTGATGTTTGCTGTTTTAAAAGAGTACCGAGGTTTTTCGCCGGCTTTTTCTCTCGGCCTCACCCCTGTCTTCTTTGCCGATGAGTAGGGTGCCTTCAAATTTAATGACGTGGAATAAGTGTACTGTTCTTTGTTCCATAATAAACTATTTATTTTATTTTTTCTTTAAGATTTGTCTGCAATCGGCACTTTACAAACAGTGATAAATTACTGTAAAGTACTTTTTATATTTAAATGCGCATTGCGCACGTAGACAGAAAATCTATTGGTGCACAGACGGGGACCGAATCTACGACCTCAAATATGAACATCGAGCACTGAAGCCACTACGCCAGCACTGACCTATATCGGCATTTTAGCTAGCTTTTATTATATCTGGTTAGGATTTTACGTATATTAAGATAATATTAGTAGATGTACTTTTTTTTATAGAACCGGGGGGAAACAGACAGGAGGCTCATCTGATATTAAAGTGATACCGCCCATGAACACTCTCAATGCCAGAGGGCTCGCGAGTGCGTTTCCGGCCTTTTAAGAATTGATATTATTTTCTTGAATGCACTAAGTCAAATATGTATAATGATTGCATTCAAGAATTTAATGTTTCGCAATGTACCATCAAAAATAATAATCTTATAAATAATGTAGGGGAAAACAAAAAATTATCATATATGTTAAGAAACGTCACAAAATACGTCAAATAATTTCTCTTACTTAGACTATTCAGAAAAATTTCATTATATAACTGTAGTATGTAAATGTAAAAATTTAATTATGCGTGGTTTGGTTTTGTAGGCCTTTATGGGCGTGTACATAACGTCAGAATTTTTTCGATTTTTTGTCATCTCAGTATGCAGAGAGTTTTTTCATACATGCAATAATTATTAGCCATAAGTGTAAAGTTGAATATCTTGTAAAAGCCTTAAATAAAAGCCTCGTTAATTTCAAAAAGGGGTTCAATAAATTAAATTATAACAGTAAGAAATCAAGAAATTCGCACACATAAATAATGTGTTTGTTGGTTACCTTGAACTGGCGGTTATCGGAGTGAAAGTATTTTATTTAAATGCTCGTTATGTGGGACCGTATTGGTGTAAATAGCAATACCGGTAATGTATCGATACCATTTTAATGTCCTCTTTGATCTTAATAAAAAGTAGTTCACCTAAGTGATACTTATATTTTCGAAACCCTTACTTATGTAGCAATATTTAATTACTGATAAAATCATTATGCTATGATATGACAGCCCTATCCGGGGCAACTTGTTAAAGTGACGCCGGGAGATGCAGTGGATTTCTATCCACAACCGGGACGGAAGGCGGGGGCGATGAAAGACGGGATAACAGGTTCCCTTAATCCTCTTGGCCTGGGCGGCCTATCTCAAGTCAATAATTAGAGTAGTGTCAATATTTAAAAATATATCTGATTTAATATTGATTGATATGTGGAGTAGAAAAGTCTTCGTTCAGGCCACGACAGAACAATCTTAACTAACGATTTATTTTTTACAATTTCTCTGAGTTGCAATTTAATGTTAGTTTTTATAGTATTCTTGGGTATGTTTAAATCAAAGATTAAATTGAAACTTTAAATGGTAGACACGATGCATGCATCTTTAAATAACAAGAGGTCATAGATCTATCAAATATCCCCATAAAACATTTGACGAACGGATAAGATAACCATCAGTTATGCACAAACTATTGTTTGGAGTTCAATGCTACTATTAATCACTGCTTATATTAAATAGGTCACACGTTTAGGTCAGGTTTTAATCCATACATAGAATTCGATCTTTTATCTCCTGACAATCAATTGAGTACATCGTAAACTTCGGTAAATGCAACGAATAGACATGTTTATTGGTTACAATGAATGTTAGAATATTTTATGTTTCATAGAGATGAACTACAGAGTATTTTTTATAAATACAACTAGCTGACCGGGCAAACGTCGTTTTGCCATGTATATCATTTATAATAAAAAATAGGGGTTGATCGTAGAGGGGTCAAAATTAGGGGTTGTATGTATTTTTTAATGCTGTATCATAAAAAAATTAAAAAAAATATAGGGGTGGACTACCCTTAATTTTAGGGGGATGAAAAATAGATGATGTAAACTTGTAATATCAACTATGCCATCAATGCCACATCTAGTAAAAACCAAATTCGTACTCCGTGTTTGCTTGGTTGACTGTCAAGTTATGTCACCCCATTTTTGTGCGTTTGTTTTGTTATTTTATATATGTACCTCATCTGTGCGCTCTAATTTCTAATTTTTTCTTAGTTTTAAATATGTGTTTCTCAGTAAGTGAATTTTGTATGCATTCTTATGAGAATAGTTTTCTTACCTACCTTTTGTCCGATTCTCATACATACCCAATATGCACACAAAATTTCATGAGAATCGGTCAAGCCGTTTCGGAGGAGTTTAACTACAAACACCGCGACACGAGAATTTTATATATTAGATTTGTTATAAAATGGAGTTAGATTTAAGTGTGTAAATACATACAATTGTATTTGCTCTTCACAAGTTTACAAAAAATGTATACAGGTAACTACTAAGTCTTCTTTTTTATTGATAAAAATCTTTCCAACGCTCGGCACACTGAAACATTGGTAAAACGAACACAAAATACATTTTTTTATGTGACAAGCACTTAAAGGCAAACATGACATATATGTAGAGATCATACAAATATTAATCAAAACAATTATTAAACAAAACAAACATTAAAAAAAACAAGTACTGATCAAAAAATTTAAAATTACAAAAAACTAAACAAAAATCGATTTTATAGTGTGAGGGGAGCGATATGTATCCACTAGCGGGGTGAGCTTTGACCAAAACGCTTGAAAAAAACATACTTAGACTTTTTGCCTAGAAGGGCTTGTCTTATTGAATTTTCTTCATATGTAATATTAAACTATATAAAGCTGTATATTGTTTATGTTAAGGCTACTTAGAGACCTGCTGTCAAGTTATAAAAAGAAAACCACTCTAATAAGTTAAGACTTATCGGAAACATATAAAACTAACAAATAAACCGAGGTTGTCAATGATAAGGATTAAAGGAAACAAAGCGGCCTGCGCCGGCGCAAGACGTGATCTAATTGAATGGTCCGCTTGAAGAATTTAATAATTATTTTATCTGCTTTTATTGCGACAACCGCACCAATGTGAATTAAATGTGGTTGACGTATTGTTATCAGTATTGAGACACGCTTTCGACTGCGTTTGAGTGGATTAAATATTTTGATACGTGCAATTTCGTGTTTTTAATTGAATGTCTTTTATCGAATTTTTGGTTTGATAATACTTAAGATATCGTACTGGTTTGTCAACGTATAATGGAGACCAGTTGTTATAAGTAATAAGGTACATTTCGTTTAAAAGTTAAATATTAAATTCGATAGCTACAGACAGCCAGTGTTGAGAAATTGTCGATGAGTTTGCTATATTTTTTAACTTTGCTAATATTGAAATAAGTCACGTTTCATTAATCATTTTTATTAAGGAATGTTATCCTATGCCTGACACATGCCGATTTTCAAGAGACTGAATAGAAAAGAAAGGATATATAGCGAATGAAAAATAAGGAACGCATAATTAAATTAAAAGGTATACAATAACGGATTGTTACGATTGCATTTCGATAAAATGTTATTGTTGTATGCATTGTAGGTCTTTGTTTGCTTTCCCACTAATTGCGCCATGTTGTTATTAATTAACTCCAGGATATATTTAGTAACACCTTATAGCTAATTGCAGCTTTCTCTGTCTCTATCGTGAATAATAAATTATAATCGTGGCTTATCAATAGCCGTATTAATTCGATTTTTAATTTATGTTTATTAAATTCATTTTTGTGCATATTAAGAGGCTTCTTATGTTTGTTAATTAATGTATACAAAAATTATATACGATGGAGATATAGCAGCTTGAAGATGACGGCGATTTCAGACTGAAACAAAATTTTAAATATAGAAGCAAATTTGCATATTTTTGAATTTCTACCATATTTTTATTTGCCTTGATGACCTAATAAAAAAAGACCAGTGACGCTACAACCTTTTTTTCGTGATGTTCCCGTCGATCGAGGGTTAATATTAATAACATAAACAGAAAGTTAATTGGTGCTCAGCCGGAGTTCGACGACTTACGACCTCCATGATAAGTCGCAGAAGCCAAGTAGGCTAACACTGCTCCCACGATAGGTGAAGTAATTAATGTATTTTTTTTTTGTTACAGCCGTTGTGGTGCGGTACCTAACTAAGCGATACATTGGAGAATATAGTTCAACTGGCGGTGAGTAAATTTATTTCAACATCTAATAGTTGGTAGTACAACTAGGCACATTTATTGATTGTTTGCAAACTTTGTTGATATTTTGAACGTTACCTTATCAAATTTTGTTAACCCGGTAACCAAGTAATATCAGATTACAGCATAGGTGTATGTTATTATATTTTTACCGCATATGCCATTGATAAAGATGATTTGTGTTAAGAGGGCTAAGGCAGGCCCTTATCTGCCAAACGATTGGTGCCAATAGTTTATTTGCGATATTGGCAAGTGAAGTGGATAACATCAAGGCTGGCCGCGTGGCGCCGATAGCACCAAGCCGTTGACTTATTAACACTATTATATGATTCGGCAAACTTTACACCACGTTAATTATCGTTGTGTTAATATTATAAAGTTATTAGTATTTATGTCATTTCGGATGCGATTTTTCATTCTTTATTTGGATATTTTCCGATGTATTGAAGAATGCGTGGGACTATCAAACCAAATCAAACGCCCGACGCGTCTGTACTCATGCGCAATTAATACTTACTAAGACTAAGAGAAAAATCAAGCATGTCTCAAAAGTCGTTGACGGATCAGGAACCTTTAAAAAAGATAATCAATACTCAGATTCAGAAATCTGCGGCTAAGAATAATAAATCACAGTGTAGTAATCCCACTCGATTTTATTATAATACTATGGACTAACTTCACGCATTACGCCATTTTTTCGTAACTTTGATCAATGTTGATCATTTCGCGATGTTAATTAAGCCTCAAGGGCGAACGAGAAAATCAAATTCTTTAACCCAGATTTCAATTGGCAAATATTGTTGATAAACATTCAAAATTGGGCTACGAAATCTTAGAATTAATTTTGTTCTAGATTTTCTGTATCAACATCGGGCGACGTTTGACGGTGTTTCATCAGAAGTCGAAGTTTTGGATACGTGTGGATGTGCGGTGAGTTTATTTATTAAGAAACAGTTACTTTGTCAATATAGGATGTTAATTTTTCACATCCTCTCAAAGTGAAAAGCTCTTCAAGATCCTAATTTTCTTGGTAAGCCTACCCGATAGCTTTCTTTAAAATTGTGCTTTTAACTAAAATAATATTTTATTTGGCAACTCAGGTAACATTTCTGTGAGAAAGTTGTAGACGTTTTTGCATAAGTTTCATTATGTTAAGTAGTTTTATGCTTGCTATAAGGTTCGTTGTAGGGAATCAAGTAAACACGTCCATCTCGTATGATATATCGTGTATAATTCCACTTAATAATTAGAGTACATTTCTCTTATAGACTAAAGAGTTCCATATACGTATGTTATAGGTATCTTATTTTATACATTAGACACCATATTGCTGTGGCTACTGGTCGGCAAAATGATTCGTTTCTGACAATCTATAAGTTATACGCCATGTTCATTATCAACTAACGGTCTTCGAATATAAGAATTTGTTGTATGGAATTGGTCTAACGCACTCTAGTGCGTAAATGTCACAAGGAAGACCCAGGAACCAGGCACTGTTTAAAATCTCTTTGATAATTTTTGATACCAGGTAATAAAGTGATCTGTACGTTCTGTGAAGGTTCTGGAACCTTGCGTCTAAATAACATATAGGGAATGTCTCAAGTCTATGGAGGATTTTTATTATTGTTTTTTGTTTAGAAAAGGGGATGTCTAGCGGAACACCTAAGATGGGGCGATGCTTTTGCGGTCGTGTATTCGGTTTGTGACCGACGATCATTTCTGGCTGCATCTGAATTATTGGCACTGTTGGAACGAACAAGACTGCCAGGATGCACGGCAGTTACTCTTCTGGGAAATAAAAGAGATTTGGAACATGCAAGGTAAGACATTTCCTTAAATAAACTCTTCATCAACGACATAACATCGACACAAAATAAAATCGCTAAATTTTAAAATGCGTGTTATAATATATATGTTAAGTAAATAACAATAAACCACGTGAGCGCGTTTTTTATGTAAGTATGTAAATTATATCTATGTATTAGAAATTTGGATTAGATACTAAGATAAAAATAGCGTAGCTTTTTTTTTGTTGTCATGACTGTAGATGAAGCACGTGAAACGTCCAAATACTTTTCTGAGTCAAAATAATTCGTAAAATACTTTTTGTAACCCGATAAAAGAGTATGTACTCAGGCACGGTCATTGTATTACTCACGTAGAAACCAATCATGAACAGCAAATAACCAAGCTCTCCAGCGTATTTGCGCTTTCATGTAGACAGAGCTATCGATTTCAAGTAGCTATAAATATCTCTTCCCCGTACTTATGGTCATAAACAAGTTTATGTCATAATAGTTTATAAGTTATCACATTACTTTTACTTGGTGCGACACGGTGGCGACACTAGTCGCGTAAGAATCGTGCCTGGCGCCAATGCCATTCTTTGGATACCTTAACATCTCTAACACCATACATATGGCTGAGAATTTCCTATATGTATTACGTAAAATTTTCTAAATACAACTAAATTTGTGCACTGAACGTGGGACGCAGTCCGTTGATTCGCAAGTTACTTATTATAACGTAATTTTAATGAGGTGATATATTTTTTAACTACGTACATTTTAAATATTTTTTTATTCAGTCAAATATGATTCTACATCATATATGTTTTTACCGTAAAATTAGGATATTTAATATCTTAACTGAGGTTAAAAATTGATTTCATTGTGTATAATTTGTTTCGTTGTCATAAAGACGCAAAATTCTAGACTAAAGCTTAAAAGTCTGCATGTCACCGTATAGTGTGTTAATTGTTGTTGAATATGCAGAAAGTCTACACTTTTACGTGTTTGTGTAATTTGCTCTCGTAATTGTTGCACTTTTTACCAAAAAAAATTACAGTTATAACTATTGCGTAATTTATGCGTTTAAATGAGAAAGTGTGTGTCTGCTAACACTGTCTACGGTTTTGAAATACCTAACACATTGTAGACGGATAATTCATAAACACATATATGCATTCTATGTGTACTGGGAGACCTATTTTTGTGTTTTTGAAAGGACAATAATTAGTATTGCTGATTTAATTATTCAATTAAATTTCCTCACATGCTGTATTCCATATTCTCGCCTTTATTTATATATGATTGAAATAACGAATTGCGTAAAAAGTTGCGTAACAATTCACGAGACACTACTCATTTTCAAATTATCCATTGTTTTTATTTGTTGTTCATATGTAATAATAATAAAAACATTATTCATAACCGATATATGGTTGTGACAAAATTCATCTATCTGTAGTCCCCACACTAGGGAGTCCCTATGTTGTAAATATATTACAATTAGCCCGTGGTACATGGTGCATATTTAAAACATTTTTTTCAAGAAAAATTAGTCTTAGTCTTCCATCTAATAAAACAAAACTCGTAAGACCTTAAGTATGCGTGAATGTTGAGTATGTGATGGGTGTGTGTGCGTATGTATTTGAGAGTTGTAATAAGCGTGCGCTGTGCCTGAATTAGTTTTTGGAACCTCAGAGTCATGACAAAATACGTAGAATCGAAATCCAATTCGGCTAGCGTAATTTTTATGAGTTTTGTGAGTTTATATCTGGATGGTAAAACGCTTTAAATATTCAAGTGTATAGTAATTTCATTGTCATTATTAACACATGTTTAATTATTTTTTATAGGGCTGTCAAAACAGAAGAAGGCCAGGAGTTATCTCTTCGTTTCCGATGTCAGTTTTATGAAGTGTCGGCAGCCGAATCGTCAGCTGGTGCGGCCCTTGCCTTCCAAGCGTTGCTTCGTGAGGCACGTTCAATCGCTTTATTGCTACCAACCCCAAGACGAAAACTTGCTGCCTATTCTGTTTCTAAGGTACGTTATTAAGATATGCTATGTTATTAAGGCGGTGTTTAAAGGTGGGAGTTCAGGCGACTCTCAATAGAATTTTTCGCGAATGCAACTGAATGAACATATGTTCCTAGTTTGATATATTCGGCAGTGGTCTGATCAATTTTAAAAATCACCGATCAGGTACCTACACCGCATTAGGTAATCATTAAGTTATGGTTGTTTCTTCTCTTTATTTTAAGTGAAATGGTTTTGTATATATTTTATTTATTTATTTATATTATCACTCCTTAGAAGGGGGAGGTAATCTCTAATTGCTACGTTCCTGACATATATCTATTATGTACAACCGTTTAACTTCAATCTTCTCTAGTACCTCCTGGATTTGGTCCAGGAGGTTCTTGTACAAACAAAGCCTAAACAACCCGATCGCAACATCCACAGTTGCCTAGTATATTCTACTTGTCAACCGCTCATTCATCCGTTCGACATGGCCAAACCACATAAGCATTTCCTTTCGTGTCCTTGCCATTACGTCGTCTTTTGACCAACACTGCTCACGCATCTTATTATTTAAAAGAACAATTCAGCGGTGCTACAACCACTTTAGTTCTGGGCCTCCGATTTCTGAATCTGTTTCATGATCATTTTTCAATCTAATAGGCAAGTAGGTGATCACCCTCCAGTGAAACACGCCGTCGACTTTTTGGGTCTAAGACATGTCGGTTTCCTTACGATGTTTTCCTTCACCGTTCGAGCGAATGTTAAATGCGCACATAGAAAGAAAGTCCATTCGTGCACAGCCGGGGATCGAACTTACGACCTCAGGTATGAGAGTCGCACGCTAAAGGCACTAGGCCAACACTGCTCTGCATCTCATTATTACTTATGCTATAACGCAACGCTTATCCTATATTCCACGGCATTTATTCTACGTTAATTCTTTCTCTGCCACAACCAACATTATATCTCGATCGAATTTTAGGTTCACCGTTATTGTCGTATATTTTAAAAATTATTTATTTATTTATTTATTTACACTTCGTTGCTAATAATGTAAGAAACACAATACATAAAAATTATAAGGGATGCAACGGGCGGCCTTATCGCTAATAAGCGATCTCTTCCAGGCAACCCTAGTTAAGAGAAAACTAAAAAAAAAGACACATGATGCGTGCGAGAAGTGCAGAATCCTTAATCTAAAGCAATACAAAAAAAAAATATTAATTACAAACTAAAAACTTAAAAACTAATCTTACAAATACATGAACAGCGAATAGTGATGTAAAAGGAATCATAAGAATTGTACAAGTCACGATTGATGAGGATAGGATAAGGTTAAGAAATGATTATACAGAAGAGTTTTAAAAGATGACAGAGAAGGTAGCCAATCGTACGGAGTCAGGCAGCGTATTCCACAGCTTAATGGCGGAGATCGTAAATGAATTGCCTAAGAAGGATGAAGTGTGGGATGGAATTTCCAATAAACATCTATTAGAAGAGCGTAACATATAGTTAGAAGGACCTAAGAATTTGAAGTGATTTTTGAGATAAGAAGGGGTTTTCGGATTGAAAAGAATTGAGTATAGAAGTTGAAGAAGATGAGCGTGACGTCGGAATCGAATAGGTAGCCACCCCAGCTGCCTGCGAAATTTAGACACATGGTCATATTTTCTAAGACCAAATATGAAACGTATGCAGAAATTCTGGAGGCGTTCGATCTTGTCAAGTAGCTCTTCGTTCAAATCAGAGGAGCATGAGTCCGCATAATCGAGAATAGGAAGCAGAAGAGACTGCGCTAACATAGTTTTAGTGCGGATAGGAAGGAAATTAGAAAGACGTCTCAGAGTAAATGAAGCGGCGTAAAGTTTGCGGCTGATCTCCTTTACGTGATGACCCCAGGAAAACGTTTGGTCGAAGAAGACCCCAAGATTTTTAACAGTCTTACTGAGGGCCAAGGCCACACCGTCAAGGTAAACACCAGGGAGCTGAGCCCATTTGACTCTTGAAATAAAGAAAGGGCTTCCGATGATGATAACTTGACTCTTGGCAGGATTAATTTGAAGACCAAAGTCTTTACTCCAGTTGGCTATGTTTTCAAGATCATCATTCATCGCCTGTATTGCAAGAGGAAGCTCATCCAGTGTAGACTGAACGTAGATTTGGAGGTCATCAGCGTAAAGGTGATAATTAGCGGATAGATGTGCAGTCAGGGTGTTAATAAAGATAGAAAAAAGAAGAGGTGAAAGAACGCCACCCTGCGGAACACCAGTACATATATTATTCCACTGAGAGTGAGCATCATTCATTTTAATACGCTGCCGACGACCATTAAGATAGCTATGAAACCAGTCAATAGCGGATGGACAGATATTCATAGAGCGAAGCAACCCAAGCAGAATTTCAAAGTTCACAGTATTGAAAGCATTGCTAAAGTCAAGCAGAGTGAGAACAGTGAGCTGCCCACCATCCATCCCTCGGCGAATGTCGTCACAAACTTTAACCAATGCAGTAGTCGTGCTATGCCCCGGACGGAAACCCGATTGGAGAGGGTCTAGAATTGAGTTTTTATTCAGAAATCCGCTAAGCTGCGTGTGTATAAGGCGCTCTAGAGCTTTAGATAGGAATGGTAGAATAGTAATGGGCTGGAAGTCAGAAAAGTTAATTGGATCGGGCCGTTTGGGAATAGGAATAACTAGGCTATCCTTCCAAGAAGTAGGGAATTTACCACTAGTAACTGAATAATTAAAAATATGAGTAATAACTTGAAGAATAGCTGGCAAGATAGGTACGATCATAGCACGACTAACTTGATCACATCCGACAGCATCCGACGAGATAGACAGGATGCAACCCTCCACTTCACGCTCGGTGAATTCAGTGAAATTAAAAGGCATGAAGTTTGGAGTTGGAAGAGAAGCTAGCTTATTGATTGTCTTCCTAAGAGAAGACTTATCGTGGGCAGGAGAACAGGTGAAGTGAGAGTTAAGGTTGTTTATATCTATTGCTGAAGAAATAATATTCTGTGCCGATCTGCCAATCCCCAGGGTTTTGAGGAACTTCCAGATTTTTGAGGTGTCGCCATTGGATACTGAGATTGCAATTTACACTAGAATATGTATTAGATCATACGGTGTGCTTTATAAAACAATGATATTTTTTATGTGAGATTAGACTGACTACTGTCTCTAGGTTTAAAAGTGTTCGTACTCACTAAAGGAGCTTTATGGTACACGTTGGACAGAATTTCCGTAATCTGAATAAAATTAGGTTTTGAATATATTTCGTTGTTACTAATTAATGATTCTTATTTCACAGGTAATCGGCACAATTCTGGGGCTTAGCAACAAGAGTGTGAGAAAGAAACGTCCATCACTTAGTATATGATCTAGCTGTTCAAAAGGCTGGTTTTTGTTTACTCCAAGAAGGAGTTTGTATGCTCTGTGGGCTAAAAGCCTAGAGATCTTTCAGATAGAGCTTTGATATCCGGCTGTGGCGGATGAAGTAAAGATGGAAAGTGTTAATTGATGCAGGGTTTATTGATAACGTTCGAAATTTGAATTTTGTTCCACATAAATGTGGATATTAATTGTTAAGTAATAACTAATATCATTAAAGTTCGTAAAGATGTGTTTAATCATTAATTTGTAGGTTATATTACTTTTTGCAATAACTGCCCATTTCACGAATATAAAAATGTATTTATGTATACTTTGTAGATTTTTTGTGCAGCATAAACACAAATAGGTACTAAGATTATGTTTTTAAAAGATAATTTTGTTTCATATAAATATAGCATTGCCCACCTTTGTATAAATAAGACTGCTTAAATGATTAGAAGTGGACCATTTGGATATATATTATGCCTCTAAATATACATATACCTTTTGTACTGTACCTGTATATATTTAATAAAACATGTTTGTTGAAAAAAAAACATTTTTATTTGTCTATTTTTTAACTACTTCAGTTCCGGCTTCACACGTTTAGATATTTATTTAAATATGTAATAGTTAGACATATGGTATCAGGGTATTTTTTGTAGATACTGATGTCTTCGATAAAACTATAGTACGAGTATCTTGTTCTATTGTCAATTGTTTTCACAGCCTAAGCAAGATAGGGAGTTTTATTGGGATTTTTTCAACATTGGATTGCATTATCGAAGTTTTCATACAGATCCCATAATTTATGAAAATATTCTATAACCTTTATATGTTTTCAAATCGATCCAGTAATTTTGGAGCCTATTCAATTGCAAAGGACAACAAATAAATATTTCTTCTTCATAATATTAGTTTAGATCCATTTATATAGATTAAACTGTATTTCAGTGTGAAAGCAAAACTTTCGAATATTAGGATATAATACAATCGTTGTCCTTGTATCCGAAAGATTTCAAATCTATAAAGGAAATAAGAGCAATGACGAAATTGCAAGAATAATCATACTTTATCCCAATAAAAGTGGTCAATTGCTCAATATACAGTTATCATAACTGCAGAACAAGGTAATATTACTGCGGACTCTTGTATCAGAACAGGAGTACACTTTTACTCAAGAACCGCATTGTGAAAACATATTCGAATTAAATGGCGCCAACAAGACGACTATCACGTCGTGGCTTATACTAGTATCAATTTCCAAGGAAACAAAGATGCTTCAGTTTCGAAGGTACTGGGGTAACAATAGTTAAAATACATAAGAATTATGGAAACAACAAAAATTCATCCAAAAATCAATATGCAACTGTTTTGAATAAAGAACATTGAACGTCAATAAACTGAGACAATACTTAACGCGAACAATGAATCCATTTTTCTCGTACGGGAGTTATACTATTTAGTTTCTGAATCTTACTCTCAGAGTCGCGACTTAAGTAGCACTTCGGTATCTCTAATCCGTTTTTAATATACGGATGACTAACTTAGTGGAAAGACTCGTTTCTTTATCTGAAGGTAAGAGACTTTTGAGTGCGATCAATGGATAAAAATTATTTTAACGGATGAAAAAATCTCAAACAAAGAGGTTTTTAATACAAATACAATAAAAGGGACAGCGCTTAACTAATAATAAAATATCTTATAAAAACTTACTAAGTTACTACAAATAAATAATTAAAAACATATTCACTTTTGCAAGTAAATATTTAAGTAAAGTAGTCACGGAAATGTATTTGCATGCGTAGTTATGATTTTTGAGTTTTCTAGTTCCGGTTCAAAGACATGAAAGGGAAAACAGAATTCCACTGGTTTTAATAAATACTCATTTACTTGCAAATTTACAGTACATGTACCCACGCGAGTTTCATTAAGGCTTAGGCTAGGTATTTCTGTTTCCGACAACTTCGTAATTGTATTATGAATCGATAACTTGTACTCATTAAAGTCGATGTTCTATTTGAAAGTTTTACATTATAATTAATTAATGTCCGCAACTCTAAATGCATATAAGAAATGGCGCTACAACCCTATATGGGTCTCAGAATGCATCTATTTTATTGATAATTTTCTATTTCATAGACAAATAGGTCATCAACCTTCCTTACCTTATGTCACCAAAATTTTAGTCTATGTTTAAAATCTAAATAAGATATAGAAAAAAATGTATCAATACCGAAATTCATAGTTTTTGGTTCAATAAATTTAAAATTAGCGCCATAAAAACAAAATAAACTAATGTTTAAGAATCAAAATTATATATGAATTTATCTTACCTATGATCTAAATCTAAAAGCCCAAACTTTTTAATTAAATATTAAAGAAAATTAGTTACCAATTGCAAGCTTTAGACAATTATATTTAGATTTAACACACATTAAGATATCATTATTTATCAGGTCAAAACTTATAACACAACCTCAGAGTAAGACAAAAGTTAAAGATTAGGATCTAGAGGTGCAAGAAAACCGCATAGAGTATAATTTATGAATTACTAAAGAAAGGGTAAGAAGGCAAGAAATCAAAGCGGCAAGTCACACAGTTAAAAATACATTAATACATTACAAATTTTCATAAAATAACAATTGTTACTTTCGTTTCCATTATGTAAAACCCTATTTAAAACTTTAAGCTTCATTAAGAACATGGCATTAACACGGTAGCAAGACCATCAACACCTTTCACCGATTAATACAGTCCCACTTCTACACGGATTAAGCCAAAACATGTGAAACAAGATAGGAAAAATAACTCCAGCTTCTTAGTATGGATACGGATGCAATGATTGGTCATATTGAGAACTCAGTACACTTAATAGGCTTCTTGTTAATGCAGCGTGTGTCATAAATTACATTAAACGCTTATAACTGTAATGAATACAATCGGATAAATCATTTGCAATTTATGTATGTACTCACTTTTGACCCTGCTCAACTGTACATCTTATTATGCAGCTGCTTTCTTCATGGCGCTATGAAGTAATGAAGTTTGGAAATATAGTCGTATTTATCATATTTGTATGTTAATATTTATAATCTAGCTAACGGTTATAAATGTTAAATTAGATACTCTGTTTAATTATAGTTTCATTGCTGGCCTATTTGATCTTTATTTACTGTTGGGATTCTCCTATCATCATTGATTTCTACAATAATAAACTTTTTAAATTTGGTTTGTTGTTTCATACATGGAATGTATATTGTTACCATGAGAACTAACTTCAATTTAAAATATTTGTTTGAAAATCTTATCTCTACACACAAAGGAAATTTCTAAAGCATGAAAAGCGCTGCCAACTTTTAATTAATACATTTTAAAGCGGCTAGTGGCTACAACGTTCAGCTATATATAAACTCCATACAAAAGTTCCTGACTATGAACTATAATTTACGGAGTTCGCATGGGATTATTACAAAACATTACGCCACTTTGTTCACTAGTTCCTAGTGCCAGATTGATGTAACACCCACCAGAACTCAACAAGAGAGATTTAAATTACTGTCTATTCATCCAAGTTGCTTTCAATGAACTGCGCATGTGATAAATGCCTTCCTTCAAGAGCCTGCCAGGAATAGACATGAAGGAACAGGCCAGTAATTACACCGTGCGAATGTTTAGAAAATATTACTGGGATTTTACAACTCTGAGGTATAATGATTAGTATTGACTTTCCTGAAAGCGTTAAATTCTAAAATCATTGGTGTTGACAATTGTTAAGTAAAATAGCCACATAAACCCTCTTATTTATAAGTTTATAATTCTCAACTAGCTGTTGAATCATTTTTGTTTATTCTTTAAATGCATTCGTAATTAAGAACGTTAAAAAATCTATTAAACAAATATTTCTAAAACACATAGTTCTATAAATGTTACTAAAATTATTATAAATGTTTAATTATTTATTATAAATCATAAGCCCCAATTGAAACAAAAGTTGATTTTTAAAATAGCAAAATTATTGAATAAACACAATAAAATCGTTTAAATATTAGGCTTCAAGTTTTTATTAGATATGATTGTTAAATGGTAAGTCAAAGCGAATTCGAAAAACATAACCTAAGTGTGGTCTTAGTAACGCAATTAATTTCTCTTCCTGACTTTTATAGCTTATTTACCCCTTATAATTCAGCCGGCATCACGATCAGTTATAAATTACCATTATGAAGTCAAGTGTCCTAATAATGTGAAGTAATGGTTGAAAATAGCGATTGTTATATAAACAGTAACTACTGCCTGAATTTTAGCGTAATAAATAAAAGGTAATAGTGATAACAGTTGAAATAGTGACTATAAATGTTTGGTTAAGTTTAATGCTTACTAAAATTGGAAATTTCGCAATAAAGAGAAACTTTACGCTAAAAAATTTACGCATAGTTTCAGAATTTAGTGTAATTCATATATTCTTTCATATTTCAATAGTTTAGTTAATAAATTTCAATTCTAAGGTCGCGAACTGGACCCCGGCTGTGGACTAATGAATTTTACTATCTATGTACAAAAACACTTACTCATAACACTTTATCATACAGTGAAGGAAAATTTCATAAAATATGTAATATATGAAGGTATGAGTAAAACTAGTGCAAATAGTTGCTTATAAATAAAAATGATCAATTAAATAAATACAAAAAAGTGACCTTAGAGGGTTTTAGCATAGTGTATCTTTGTATATATTATTATACTGTACGTGTGTATGTCACCGAAACGGCTGGACCGATTTAAATGAATTTTTTTATGCGTTAGGGTTGCGCCCTGGATGGTTTAGATTCACAAATATAAATATATAAATCTTCTGTACATGTGTTCATAATTAAACTCATAAACGTCTGGACAGATTTTGATGAAATTTTTTGTGTGTTCGAGTCAAGAATGATGATTATTAGATTTTATCTTGTAAGACGTTTGTCGGATTCGATAGTATTTAAATGAATAAGGTCGTGAAATTGA